AACTGTTTAAACTTTAATTACCAATTTATTGGAGAATCCGACAAACCGGCCTCCAGCTCTTTTTTATAGCTATACGCAGACTGTGTCCCTTTAACAACCAACTATATTTAGACTATATTCACGTCTCTGAACGCAAAGCGATCCAGCCAAATCCAATACCCTAGTTTAAGACATGAATATTGGAACAATTCGAACTTTTAAAGTGATTTTTTTTTTGTGAAAAAATAAGGGATCAAAGATTAGTAACCCAAGGTCGGAAAAGTCCGTGATTTAGTGTGAATTATTGACAGCAGTTTATAAAAGTTCAAATCTTTTGATATTTAATAAATTAACCAGGGGAGTGACGAAATATTAATTAATTGTAATTAATATTAACGCCATTATTAAATATGATACATGTCAATGATAATATAATATCATTACGGAAAATTAATTAACAAAAACTGCTCGGTCAATTAATATACAAATATTCGAGTTCATGCCAATTTCGAAGACTGAAAAACTCCTAGGATTTCAGAAGGAATTTGATTATTTGGTAATGAATCTTTTATGACTTCAACGACATTCAATATTAAAACATTATCAACTATAAATGCAGTAGCAGTTACATTTATATTAAACCTTTGATGCCATATTCGTTGGATAATGTATTGTTACATGGAATTCAACAACGGATCGAGTAAAAATTATAACAATTTGATAATGGTCTCACAAAATAACAGTTATGAATACAATTAGTTTAAAGAAAATTTATTGAAGAAAAAAGTAGTACAATATCTCAAAAGTATGTAGGAGGATTTGGTAACAAGCTTAGAAATTATGTAAAACCATCTCCTAATTAGTGATCGGCATAGATATATAAAGTAGAGTTATTTTTGTCACCATATTAGCTAAGAATGTCTTGTATGGTCTTTGTTTATCATACATATATTTGTTATTTACCTTTTTAATATTTCAAACTGTTTTAAACAAGTGTACAGAAGGGCTTATACATCAGAGTTAAGACTTCGACGGATAATCGTTAACTTCAGAGAACCGTTATTCATAGAACTACTACTCAATAACTCATGTCACACACTGACGCATATTACTATATATATATAATTTAAAAAATAGTATTGTCAGTCATATTAGATGAAGAAACACCGATTATTATATTTCATTCTTTAGGTACTGGATATTCATAGATCTGACTAGGATTCACATTTTCTGTATTTATATATATCTAACATCCTTAATTTCAGTATTTTCTGATATGTTACAGTAATCGTTAATCAAACATTAGATATAGAAATACCTGTTTATGGAGAAGATCAATTCATAATGAATTCGTTTAATGTGACGTCTTCTGATTCAAAATTTGCATAAATATCCAATTTTAATTAATATATATCATATTTCCCCGTTTTACAGAGCCAGTGCCAGGTTATCAGTGACAATGTAAGTTATAAAATCAATAAAAACGTGTAACCCGAGGGGTACGAGATAGTCCGCTCTGCCACAAACCGTCGCGTTTTCCGTGACAAGTCCGGAAACCCGCTCCGGTCCGGGTATTATAATGATGGCGGAGGGCCCCAGGGACTAATTATTAGCTTCAAGAGTTCCAGAATCCACGGGATTAGTTTTGCCTTATGCTACAACCAAATTACAATAATTCAACAATAGCGGGGTCACTAGTCGAGTGAAACGGAGACAAATATTGACTCTACTCCTTCAAGTGAACATTTCCCAGACACTGCGAAATCAATACTAATCGAATTTTGGTAAGAGTTAGAAGATGGTGCATGGTAAACAGGAGAACCAGCAACGGTGATGGCTCTAGATCAGGCTGACAGGGAGCCGCATCTGGCCGAAATCTATACAATAATAGTTCCACTTTGAATATGTTAAGTGAGGCTTAAATTCGTACAATTCTGGGAAGTCTCGGTAAACCGTGGATTTTTTCTGGCCATTAATGTATAGTTTATAAAATAAACATCAATGTTTATTTATTGGCGAGCTAACAAGAGGGAAGTTGTAACTAGATGTAACAGCCTCTTTCATCCGAAACGTTGGCACGCGCGGCTTTTTCCTGATTTCCACTTCATCTCACGTGACGTGTGTATAGCTGGTGCAGGCCTAATTAGGTCCAATTTTACGGTAGATGGAGGAAAGATTTTTTCAGTGATCTAGATACATTATTAATGGGTTCTAAATGTGCTGTAATATGGCGTTAAAATGGCGCTATGCTAAAGCATTAAAAGATAATGTTTTGTTTGAAATCGTATCCGTTCGAGATACAACACCCAGCTAGCTATATTTTCTTCCGTTATGTTGAGATTGAATTAAAAAGCTGCATTATTTCATTCATATATTGCGTTACATGAGAGATATTCGCACAGGACTAGTTTAACATTATGTAAGGTATAACAATGACAAGTTAGCGTTATAAACGCCATCTCTTGAAATATGAAGAAAGGTGTTTTTTCTTCTGAAAAACATTTACATTAGGCATTAAATCTTCTGCTTGATTGGATAAATGACTCCTTGGGTACGATTCTTGTCACGAAATAAAAATAAATTTTAAATGTATTGATACTATGGTTACAAAAATTCAAGCCATCTTAATTATGTAAAAGAAAAGGCAATTATAGCGTTTTATTCTGAGAAAGGCATAATTGATTGACACTTGCATAAATGAAATAAAATGCGTTAATAATGTGTACATATCTCATAATATACACACGTTTTATTCAAGAACATATTTTCATATTATTTATCATTATAGGATATATAAATAAACGCTTAAGTGTAGGACCAAGGTTTCTTGTATCCCCAGAAACAATAAAACACATCTGCATGATGCGAGCTAGCGATAGTGGTAGGCATGTTATATATGATGACAGTGGTCCATTCAATTTTTAATTAATACATTTAATCATTAATATTTTGGAAATGAAATAACCTCATAAATTATTTATAACGTAATGAGAGAATTGTTTTCGTCTGAGGTGTAAAGCCGGGACTACCGATTCGCGCAGATCATTCTTGTTATTGTTAAAGAATACATACTATCTATCAGCTCTGGGCTGTTTTGAAAAAGATATTATATCAATTATCAGGCTTATCTTAAATTGGTTAAAGTATACTTTTGAATTCTAATTTCCGTGAAATTTTGTATCAAATAAGCTATACAGTATGTATATAAAAAATGTACAGAATTTCTTTTTCTAAAGTTTCAAATGAAAATAAATACCTAAATTAAATGTCAGTATTGATTACAGTGTAGAAAGGTCACTAGAAGCAATCGAAAGGGTGTCACATTTATATAATTAAAACACACATATGTTTACCTATATCATAATTTATTTTCGTTCGGAGACGCAGGTGTTTGTGAAACTGTTTCGAGTATGACCACAGACGTTGATACAGGTTCTCAATACAGCGCATACGTTTCAATCTAATCTACAAACCGGAACGTTCTTATCGTTTTTTGGTCACACAAGTTGCGGTTGTTTTGGGTCGATAGTATACACAGTACTCCGGTCCATAAACTTATGAATACTTATACACACGTAAGAACCGTTAACGGGCGGATTACCACGGACAAAAGTATTATCAAATCGAGTTCACCTTAATATTCTGGTTCAAGTTTGATATGCTTGCGTAGAATTTTTGAACAGTTTAAAAATCAAAACTATACAATATTTAGCAAAACACAGTTTCCGTATATTTCAAACATCGGTTTAATATGATATAACGTAATAAATAATCAGTTTTATTATCTATATTTATGTATTATTAAGTTCCAAAACAATGATCGGTGTATTTGACTAAAGCAAGATTGCGTTAGGTAAAAACACTAAAAGGGCAGCTGTAATCAAATCAATGGTTGCAAAAACAATCTTCTGAACAATATAAGCACTACAAAAAACACAATCTTAAATCAAAATGTTGTTATTTGATTATTCTTATTACATTGTTTTAAAGTTAATAGCTACATTTATATTTCAAGGCTTTACAGTTATTGTCTGAGGTAGTTCCGATGGAAACAATGGCAAGACACATTTAATTCATAGAATAATTTAAATGAAAAACTGGTTGATTAAAAGTATCAATTCTAATTAAAATCTTGGTCTTTAACAGATGAAAATGAAATTCAGTTTTAGAAATTCATAATATTCTTTTCATAGCTAGAAGATTCCCTATTTGAATGGAATTTGAAACATGTTTACTTTTATTTAAAATTAAAATAACATAAACTTTAGGTATAAGTAAAAATAATAAACAAGTTCTTCAACAGATTATTAAAGTTTATACATTATCGCCTTCACACAATTTAAATAGGATTTCAAATACGGATTACAATTAATTACAATTACGTACGCTGATGGATTCTCTGTAGGCGGGCATTCTAACTTGGCGTCCGTAGGATTATGAACCCGTCTATATGTACAATAAATATCAAATCCCATAGCAAGAAAAGTCCTGGCTGTATCACAGATATGGAACAACAAACCCACTAATATCCCGTGCGCGCTACAAACACCACACCGCCAGGTAGTAAATAGGTGTGCGTTCATTAGGATAATGATTGTACTTAAAGGTTAATAATACACAAGACGAAAATCACCCAGTTATTTGTAACTATGGTTTATATTGTATTTGGCTAGTAATTGATGAAAGGTTTCTTGAAATACTGGCAGAAAATGAACAGTTACAACACTGAGCGAGGCGCTGCGGGAACATCTCATCAACGCGATAAGGCTTGTGTCTCTTTCCCAACCAGGATTATTCGCTCTGGTGAGCAATGCGTAGCTAACTTTACTTGTGCTTCGCTGCGGGTGAGCTCATCAAATCCACGGCTTATTCATTTAGCTGATAGGCGTGTCATAGCCCAGCTAATTGATTAGAACTGCCTATGGGCGTTTAGTGGGCGGAGCTAAGTCCTACTAAGATAATAGAAGCGGGGCTACCATTGGCTTATGTCTGGTAGTGTTTACCTTTCAATTATCGGCCGTATGACAGTCAAATAGAGGAGGATTTCCACAGCATGCTGAAAGGAGACTTATAGCGGGCTATCGGAGCAGTAACCGTGGTTAATGCATACAAAAGCGTTTCTACTCGAGGAACAGAAGACAATTGGCGTATAGATAGTGTTCACAACCGATGTATACATACTCGACTGACCATGGAAGGATAGTGCTGGCGATTTTTTCTCAAGTACGGAGCTAGTGGTCACTTACATATACCTACGTGAGTGTCACAGCTGACCCGTGGTGATACTTACCTGTGGACCACCTGCCGCCTGTTGCACACATTTGTAAACAAAACGGTGAACACGGACAAGGAGAGACACGGTGCATCTCATTAACAGATGTCATTACAATCATGTTATCTTATTTAAATATTTTATAACATAGGATTTTTCCTGGACTGGTCTTGAAAAAGTGAAGAAAATTCTGGAGATTTTTTCCGTTCCAATATTTTTTTGGACACCTCTAATTGACACGGACACATCCTTTTGAAATTAAAACCCTGACTATGCTTCTGGAAGGAGGATCGGCAGATATGTTGGCTGCACAATCTAAGATCTTGTTCCAATTGAACAAGTACTATAATGAGCGAGTGCAATCTCGGCAAGGTGCCACCATGAAGACCATACGAGAGGTATGCAAGGTGGTACAGGATGTACTCAAAGAGGTGGAAGTCCAGGAACCTCGGTTCATCAGCTCTTTGAACGAAGCCAATGGACGATTTGAAGGCTTGGATGTTATTTCTCCTACCGAATTCGAGGTAGTGCTATATTTAAACCAAATGGGTGTTTTTAATTTCGTTGACGATGGTACGATACCCGGTTGTGCCGTACTGAAACTCAGTGACGGCCGAAAACGGTCAATGTCGTTATGGGTGGAGTTTATCACGGCGTCTGGGTATCTCTCCGCGAGGAAAATTCGCTCGAGGTTCCAAACATTAGTGGCACAAGCAGTGGACAAATGTAGTTACAGAGACGTCGTGAAAATGGTCGCCGACACGACCGAAGTTAAACTTCGGATAAAGGAAAGGTATGTGGTGCAAGTGACCCCTGCTTTCAGGTGCGGTGGTATTTGGTGTCGAAGTGCTGCACACTGGCCGGTACCCCATATACCCTGGCCAAACCCGAACCTCGTGGCCGAGGTAAAGACGGAGGGATTTGATCTACTGTCCCGTGAAAGCATCTACATGAAAGACAAACAGAGTGCTGCCGAGGGGGATGCGTGGGCCATGTCGTTCAAGTACGCCGAGGACAGACTTCTGTATGGGGGGTGCAGGCGGAAGTGTCTAAGTATCATGAAAACTTTCCGCGACAGACATCTCGACATTCCGGGACAACCCATCACTCCCTACATCATGAAAACCCTACTTCTGTACGAATGTGAAAAACACCCGCGCGAAATTGAATGGGACGACACGTGCTTGGGTGACAGACTTAACGGTATCTTGCTTCAGTTGATATCGTGTTTACAGAACAGGAGATGCCCACACTACTTTCTACCCAACGTGGATCTATTTAAGGGCAAAACCACTTCGGGGATGGACAATGCTGCCAAACAGGCATGGCGAATTCTCCGGGAACTATTAACGAATCCAAAAAGTCTAGAGAAGCTTTAAATATATTTATCTGTGATGTTGTGTATTCGTGGAACGCTGAATGATTTGTTATGTACATGAAGTCCAGTATCGATAGAAATTCATCATAAATTCAGATGGACTCCCCATCTATCAACAACTCAAGGGAACATTAGGATTTGCTGCTTGTGAGCGATCGGGGTAGGCATACCATTTATACAACAGTAGGTATTATTTAAGATAACAAAAACATGCGTTAAGAAAAAAGGCATACTTTCTGATATTTAAAACGAAATTATCGCTTTAGCGTGACTCCTCTGATTTTGATTTTAATTGCATACTTTAAACTAATATCTAAAAAAAAGAAAAATACACGCTTTGAAGTATTTGCGTGTTTGCGGAACATACCAAATCTGAATTATTAGCCCTGCAAATCGTTATAGAATATTTTGTTTGTGTGATTCTGCGTAGCGGGGTGTAACGAGGAGGGGGAGGGAGGAGTAAGGATAGAATGACGAGGTAGGGAGTAGTAAGGGTAGAATGACGAGCTAGAGAGGAAGCAAGGGACACCAGCTGATGCTTGTCACAAGTGTACGCTGAGATAGTAGTAGAAGCCGCGTTACTGTGTTGGTACAGGTCAGCGAGGCAGATACACGTACATCTGATATATACAAGGCTTTTTGGTGCATTTTTGTAGTGTTATAATCTCAATGTATGGATTTATGCAGCGGATTGAGAAACGTTTGGAACAGATTGCTAATCTCGGTGAGTGCCAATGAAAATGAATGTCGAAAGCGAATCTAAAATCAAAGCACTATATATCTTGCTTTCTTTAACATATATCAAATTTAAACGACAATCTGTCGTGTTTATTCGGTGCAGAAAGATAATAAATTTATGTAAGTTTTAACGAGTATTTTGATACCAAAGAAAGATAAAAGGGTTTCTTGGAGGTTCCTTAGAGTACTGGATTAAATTATGGATGCATTTATAAATGTTTGCCGATAGTTTAACTGTTGGCATGTGAAAATGTGAGTGAATGTTTTGATAAGATTTATCTCAAATTGAGCGCTACTTTGCGTAATTTGTTAGTTGTTATTATCTAATGTTGTTGTCTTTTTGTGTATTTTCTTTTCAATATTGCGTGTACATGGATAAACAATGTTTTTTGAATTCTAAGTTATTATAGTGTTTACAAACACGTGCTTCTTAAAATTCCATTTCATGTCAAAAAAGAAATATGTACAAAAATTAAAGACAATTTCAACACGATTTTATGTTTCCAGTTTTATTTGATAAACGAGTTATATGATATTTTCAACACACTACTGAAATACATCTTTTAATTTTCCTATGTAAAACATACTATTCATAATAAAAGCATGTGACAAACGTTTAAAAACATATTTTTTAGTTAATGTTATCTCTCAAAACTCGGTCCAGATTGCCTAAATTCCGGCCTTGGTATGAGAGGTCTGGTCTTCGGATACTAGCGAGATCTCTTACCAACACAGCAGGCCACTCATAATACTAAATGTTAGCGAGTGTAGTGTTGCAGAGAATTCAAGTAGGTATTCTCCATAAATATGTTGAAGTCTGAAAACTGAAAACCATTTTGTTACGAAATATACACTTGTCTAGGTTTGCTTTTACATCCGTCTGCACTTTAGTTTATCTTGGTTAAATTACCTATTATCTTAGCACTGAAATATTTCATTTGTCTTCGATAGCATAGTATTTTTACGGTGCTGTTGGGAGTAATGTCAGACGTGTTTACCCCCGGTTCGTTTTAATTGCATTTTTGTGTTTCGGATCTTTTTCAATAGATGAGTGATCAGAGGCTCGATTGGGGTATAATGACTTCCAACATGTCAACACAAACCTTTTACTGTAAACAGCACCTAACCCGCCAAAATGTCCTGTTCTGTTTGGTCTATTATTTTGATTGATCAATAGCGAGAAAAACAAATTAATAGATTATAAAAACAAAAAAGAATTGTATTTTTGAATTTTGTGAATATTCGTTAAAAAGATTTGCAATTATATGTGTACGACAAAATTAAGTTGAATATTGAATACAGTATGAACATATACGCAATGGGCATTACGACATCCTTGAGTATTGTTTGTTTACTTTTCTTAAAATCGAACACTACCAGTCATAAAACAAAATAACTGCAGTTTGTGATTTTTTGTTTGTTTTTTGTTTTAATTTAGGTCAAGTAATGTTTTGTATCTTAAAGTCCAGATATTAATTCAATATAATTTCATATATATCTTGTTCTATAAATAATACATTTTTGTTCTATAAATTAAACAATAATATCGTGCTTTAGAAATATAATAACAAAGTTCCTGCTATAAAGTAAAATATTGATGACTAACCTCTATCAAGTCCATGAGTTGCACTTTCTCATAAACTATTTTTAATATATCAATGCTAATATCAATACAATGAACTTGATAACTTAATTCTTACATGATTGCAGTACACTCATGATTATTTTAAGCTATATTCATTTTAAAAGATGTTATGATGAAAAGTATTACCGCAAATAAACATATAACTTTTAGTTATATATTTGAAACTCTTGAAATGTTTATTGTTAGTATCAATAATATAAAATATGTGATAAGTGTCGGATGCATGAAGGAAACCGCAGTATGTGTTACACTATATACACTACTCGAACAATGTTAGAGAGTGTACTTGATATGAAAATAACATCTCTCCGGAATCATATGCTATACTTACATACACACGTCATTTATTTTGATATCATGTCACAGAAAATAGTAAACACTATTTACAAAAATCACTGATAACACTTTAATATCACATATCAATACTTTGTAGAGAGTTTTCATTGCAAACCTGAACAAAAATGAAAACATGGAAATTACAGTGTATGCACTAATTAAAATTAAGTCAAGAAAGGTTCCTATTTTATGTTGTGCATACTGTATCTATTGTTTAGTTTTTAACTTGTGTATGTCGTATGTTCATTTTTGGAGGTAGAACGTCTATATCGTTATATCGTCAGACAAAAACAATATCATAACAATTTTTAAGTAGCAGTTTTGTTAGAATATAAAGCATGTGGAAAGGAATTAGGCTAACTTACTGGTATAAATTATACAAAATTAATTGATTATAAACATTACAAGCTGAAATTATATTTTTAACTGGTATGTACGTTCAAGTTGGAAATGTGTATTAATCTTATAGATCTCAATCTATAAAAAACATGACAACGGCATAAACATATGTTTACCAGATAACAAGTTATAAAAATAGAAACGGTCGCTGATAAAGGGTGGGGATCGAGACGGAGGGAATTTAATTACATAAAAACACAGGTAATAAATTAATTTTTATTACATCTGTGATAGCTATGTCATATAAATCAATTAGAGATTCCCATTATAAAAGGTGTGTCAAGTCAAATCAGACTAAAACATATTAAACATTATTGTATTCCTGAACTAACGTTTGCTTAATTAATTTCATAGCAATAACATTAAATGTTAATTTTGAAATATATTATAACATACTTGATTCAGAAATACATTTTTTTCAGTGGCTAAAATATAATTTCCCGCTACTGTTATTCTATCTTTGAAAAACACAAACACTATTGCATATTTCAAGTGACTATAATTATAGATTTATAAGTAGCTATTTATGTTTTCCCTATGACGGGGACGGCAGTGTGATGATGTTGACTGATCAGTTACAAAACTCCCAAGCCGTGACAGCGTCACAAATTACACACATCATAACGATAAAAACTTGTCCTCCATCTATCTGTTACCTTTCCAAATAAAACTAGTAGCATTATAATATGCATCATGTACGCTAATTAACCCTGTACTATGTCGGGATGTAAAAATCTGCGCTGTCACACGATATAATAATGTATAGCTTTATGGAGCAATGTATGAAATCAGTATGCATCAAATTTATAAAATTTTCAATATACCACGTAATAAGTGACGCTGTAATGAAGGGCAGACTTTTTAACAATATCCATAACAAAGTTAAACTATTTAATATCAAAGCGACACGTTAACATCAGCGGAGTGCAGACGAGGGATCCTGTCGACAGTTATGAGTCTCGCATGAGGTGAATCCCTAAGCAAAAACATACCACCCAAGTCGCATTAAAACTATCTACAAAAAACTGCCTGGCGGGCAGAGTCTGATCCATTTTCAATAAACCACTTACAGTCTGATAGCCTTCTATCCTATGAAAACATTAAATGACATGATAAAAAAGACATATTAGCAAGACATAATAAAAAAAGTATGTGATGTTTCCCTTTTTTAATGGTTACGGCCGAGGCGGGACCCAACAGGTCAAGTGTGTTCGCTCCAAGTAGTCTTAAATGTGTACGAGACCCTCGTTCAAGAGATTCATTAGCTTGAATGAACATGGACTCAATTTTCATAACAAGTATATTCAAAAATTTAAATTATTGGAAGCTTTTAGAATTAAGAAGCGCAATACAAATATTTATATATAACCTTTACAAGTTATGTACTCATAAGATGATTAAGCTTAGCAGAGTGCTGGTTCGAGACTAAACCAAAATGGTTAATTAGGCGATTTTCGAGGCGGTAACCTCTAATCGCTTGCGGTAAATCTGTAAGAAATTTGATATTAATTACAAAGATGATGGCTCAACAGCAGACTCTTCAAATGATGCATATCTTTAAGACCTTCATAAGGACAGGTTCTACTTAGACACTCGCGAACAATTTAACAGTCTAGTGGCCACCTAGAATGTTGAAGTATCTTTATTCATATATAAACACGCAGAAATGCCCCTTATTGTTATAGGTCTATGGCCTTTCAGTCTCACCCTACTATAAGATTTAATCAAATAATCAATTTTCCCTTTCCCATTGTGATAGAATATAGAATTTTGACACCGTATGAACTACAACATTTTAGCTGATCATCAAGACTATCTTTATGGCGTTAGCTGAGGTTTCAATTATTTTTGTCATATCTATTATTGTACTGGACTCATAATTTTGTATTTGCAAAATTATATATTTGATATAATCCCAAAACGCAAACTTTTAAACAGTTCTTACGCAATATTCCTTTCAAATAAATAATTCATAATACAATGTACATGCAAGCAAAAAAGAAAGTTCTTATCTGAGTAAAAAAGTGCGTTTTTCAAATGCACACTTTTCAAACAATGATAAGAAAACAGCATGTATCAGCATGTAAGAATTTTCTTCGAAATCAATAGATTATTTTGTAAGAAAAACGAATTGCTTAATAAATGCAATCACAATCAGGAGATATACCATTGATTGAAAATCAACCCATTTACTTAATTTATATGCACATGTTTTTTTCTTAACTGTTGACTAAAATGGCAAACTCACAATCGAACAAATTATTTAATTATGAAGTTTTTTTATAGAGACCTGCTTCTTTTTCCAAGACAGTATGAATACATTTCGTCGAGACGACAGAAATGTACACATTGATATACCGACTAAGTTATTAGATACAACAACGAAATACTATGTACATTTAATTAGCCCCTGCCGTAAATTAGAAACAATGATCTAAAATAATAATTGTAATAAAACATATATACCACAACATCAATACAAAATCGGAACTTAATAATACGATTAAAAAATCGAGGAAAAACCAAAACAAAATGAGAGACATCCTGAAACCGGACAAACTGATATCGTTAAAAATTGAAGTGTATGTTTCAGTAAATTCATTCAACCCTACGAGGGCTTAGATGTATATTTCAGCGTTCCAGGACCTGACGATGTATACTACTGACCCTAATTGAATAAGGCAGTGAACATGGACAGGTGGTTTGTGCCATACTAGTGCACCACTCACTGTAACAGAAGTTTGCCATATACTGTCATTCCTAAATCCACTCGATCACAACCACCAACCCGAATCAGAAGCGTTTCACTGACGTCATCATGACGTCATAGGTTTATTTGGGATCAGACGTTACTTTTATTGGTACAAAGGAACATCAGTAACTGCATGAAAAAGCATGCAGGCACCTGCAAAACACATCAAATTTACTACATTAACAATTCATAAATTGAAACTGTTTTATTAATAAGCTTATATTGGAAGAAAAACGTCAAGCTTCTTATATTTCAGAATGACAATAATAAAAAGAGAAAAATGCCAAGAAAATAATTAAAAGCTCGGCAAATCTATCAATCTTTATTTGAAAATGAAAACCGGTGATTATATTAAACATTT